CGGCCGCAGCGCACGGGCCGCAGCGGCCATTGGGGGATGAACCAACAGAAAAAAGGAAGACCTTTCTCTCTGTCTCTCTCTCTCTTTCACTGTACACTCTGCCTGTCAAAACAAAACAAAACAAAACAAAACAAAAACAGCTAACGTGTCTTGGGTATTTACCATGCATCAGGAACAGTCCTAAGCACTCTGAATCATCCTATGATAGTACTGAAGCCCACACCACTAACATTCCCATTTTAAAAATGCCAAACTGAGGCCTGAGAGGCCTAACCTAGTTTTATCCAGAACCCACGCTCTATACCACTCCTGTGCCTCTCTCATAAGCACAGTCACGTGCCACAGTCAGCGACAGCCAGGATGTACAAAGGTTGTCCCATTAGATTGTATTTCTCAGTCACATCGTAGCCATTTCAGTTTGTGTAAGTACACTCTGTTATGTTTATACAATGACAAAATCACCTAGCAACGCGTGGCTCCCGACGTCCCCTGGCCATTAAAGGACACGTGGCATCCAATACGTACTGTATTCTTTAGGGCACATCTCAGTTCAAACACTAAATGTGCGATAGAAGTACAATAAATAATACATAATAATACACAAAAGGGATAGTTCAACTGATGGGATTTAAAGTAAGTTTTTTCCAAGATTCAATGTACATTTATTCTTAATAAAAAGTAATTTTTAAATTATCTTCTTTTTTGTTACATTTTCCAATTTGCCAACAAAATACGCCACTTTGTTTTTTTAAGATTTTTCAAAATAACTCAGACAATTATCAGTCTGGTTTGGTTTTAGTATTCCTACCTTAACACAGGAAAAGAGACAGAATGACTTCTTAAATGTCTTCAAGTCCCCCAAATGTATTATTCTCTAGCTGCCTCTGCCATAAAATGGAAGTGGCACATCTTGCTACTCTATTATGTACTTTATGACAAAAGGGTTTTCATTTCCTCCTCTCATCAAATACAGCAGAACGTTTTAGACACCAACCTTGAGGGCTTCCAACCAAAGGAGTAATTTTAAATCTTAAAATTTTGGGGTAGTCATGTAGCATAGCAGCTAAGATAGGTAAGTGTGTACCACTTCACTTCCACAGTGAAGTACCTGGGTTCAATACCTGGCTCTGGTTCCTGATTCCAGTTTCTTGTTAATACAGACCCCAGAAGGCAACAGTAATGACTCAAGTGATTGAGTTCCTGTCACCCACTTGGGAGAACTGGATTGAGCTCCCAACTCTCACCTTTGGCCTGACCCAACCCCAGCTGTTTTGAGCAGTTGAGAGTGAGCCAGTGAATAGTAGCTCACTCATCTATCTATCTATTATCTATCTATTATCTATCTATCTCTTCCCCTCTCAAGTAAGTAAAATATTTCTAAAATCTTCTACTTTCCTGAAATATTTCCTGAAATCTCAGGGGCCCGAGAGTTTTCCAGATCTACCCACTTTCCCGTAGAGCCAAATGCAGGAGGAAATACATCCATAAAAGCCCAGAAACCCTGCCCATTCAGAGAAGCAGCTGCCAGGGCTTGGGACTCTCCCACCTCTTACAGGCGCAGATCCCATGGAAGTCTGAGTCAAAAAAGGAGTCACTGCTCCCTGGGGACGTTCTTCCTGCGCTGGAGCTTTTAGCTCCCACCATCCTCACACTCTAAAATTCTCACAAATACCCTTACCTTGGCCCTCACCAGCACCCTACATCTTCAGCCTGGGGCCAAACCCTCTCACCTCCACCTTCAGCATATTTCTCACATCTGTGCCTTCCACTTACGCCACGGCCACCACCCAGTGCAGTCCCTCTGTTACCTTCTCCTTGACCTCCATGACATCTTCTGAACCGGCTTCTTCACCCCATCCCTCTCAATCTCAACTTTTGACCTACCTCAAGCAGATGTACTTCACAGTCTTGCTAATCTGCTCTGAGAAAGTTGCCATCCCTGCCGGATATCTCTCAGGGATTCTCTCCCTGGTTTGCATTGTGCCCCATGCTGAGCCCACTTTTCAGCCAACTGGTCTACTTGCAATACCCAGGATTATTTGCATTTTTCATCCAGGGACCTTCCTTTAGGCTCCTCCCTTTATCTAGAAAGCATCCTTCCTCCATCTGCCCACTGAAATGCTTTTATATTGCCACTATGTCATTCCTGATAGATCAGTGTCCCCTGCCTATCCAGATCTCTTAAGCCTCCATGTATGTCAAGAGTATAACCTAGGCACTTTACATGTTTATCCGACTTAACTGAATCTTCACACGAGCCCTGTAGGATGGGTATTACCACTCCCGTTTCACAGATAAGGGACCTGAGACTGTCAGAATTAATTAACTTGCTCCAAGTAGCACCCTTACTAAATGGCAGCGTCATCACTCATTCCAAAAATGTTATTCCAATCTATGTCTGTCAGATTCCTAAGCCCCCTGGGCTTTACAATACCGATCAGGAAGTCCCTTTGGGGGCAATTAGCACCAAAGCCTCAGGACAAGGCAGATCACGTCAAAGGCAGTTTTCTGCTGCTCTCTCATTGGCTTTAGTCATCGTGCTATGGGAAATGCTCCTTTGGCTCTCAGTCGGCACTCAGCCTGGGCTAGCACAGGGCTTAAGAAATGATTCATGAAGACAAACAGTGTACTGGATGTTTAGTTCCACTGGTGACCCTGATTATTCTAAAACCATGAAAGGAACACCAAGCCCCGGCATGAGTCCAGTAGCCTACAACTCTGAGTTCTCTGTCACCTTGACTTAGGCCTCAGGCTAAACTTCTGTTTTCTGATTACACCCAGAGGGATCACACACACACACACACACACACACACAAAGGCTGCAACCGCATTGTTGTCCATAGATCCTGACACTCACACCCAACATAGGTGCACAAGAAATTCATATGAAGATTAAGCCCAGGGAGGACTAATCTACCTCAGATTGATTTTTCACCATTTAGAGTTGGAAGCCCCCAAACTTGTTTGATCGGTTCATATTGCCATATGGAGAATGTTAGAATAAAGGGCTTATTCTCTTCCTTATTGTTCTGGAGGCAGGGTGCTCAGCGGCCACTGTTTGCTCAAGGAGAGAGTCAACAGGACTTGCTGACGCCCATGGCCAGTAAGCCCGCCTCTCAGCCACTTGCAACCTGGTGTGGGATGTGGATCTAATGGGAAAGAAGCTGAGTAGGGAAGGGGTTAGGAACTCCATGGCATGTGCTGTGTGCATTTTCCCTCCCAGTCCTCAAAGAATCATTTCTGAAGTGACTGTTACTGTAATCCTGATCCAGAAATGGTAGCGTCCCTATAGGACTAGAACCCTCATTATGTCAAGTGCCACAGCTTCCCACAGCTCGAAGCTCAGAGTTCATGGAAGACTTTTTGTCAAGCAAATATTAGTCATGGAAATAGCACTAAAAAGCAAAATGTGAGTCCTCAAGTACCAATCTTCTTCCCTCCCTTGAAGGGTTTAATTCCTTAAATGTGTTATGTTTCCAATAGCGGACAAAGATCTCAACGAGAAGTGGTAGTTGCTGTTTGAGAGTCTTAGATCCACTCAGGAGAACCCATGTTTGATTCTTAGGGAGGTGGACTTGCACGAACTCATTATTTTCACTGGTTAAACCACAGGCTACCAAAGCACTGTGTCGCGGGCACATGGACAAAATTATTCTGTTCCCAATCATCCTTAAAACATGCCATAAAGTGGCTGGGTGAGAGCAAAGACAGCCCAGGGCAGGTCAGCGTAAGGACTAACCACACTGAGCAAAAGTTTCACTGACTGGGGTAATTTATGTCATATTTAGGAATCTTTGAAGTGAAAGATCTTTATTTACAGGCCCCCTCCCCCCTTTTGCCATGATCTGTTATGTTGTAGACAGTTTACTGCTTCGCATATATTGATAATAATACATCTCCATATGGGATGGGGTTGCCATTGCTAACCAGTTAACACATGGCTTATAAAAACCATTATAACCTCTCAACACTTTAGCCAAGTCTGACACTTGGGATTATCTTCACGGTGCTTGACTCTTGACAAACTGAAGGCTTTTAATCTTACAGAGATAATAGAACTTTTATTTTGCCTTCTTCAACGTAGTTCGTATAAATATATTATTGCTGTTGCTGCCATATGGTTTAAAAAAAGTTGTTCAGTGCACGACCATATACTGATATCTCAATGATATGAAAACTACTTGGTTTTGTTCCTCTCCATACCTTTTTGTGTCTCTCCAAAACGAATTTTCATAAGGCATATTTGGTTGGAAGACACACACTACCTAGTGCCTGAATGATGTTGCCAACATTTTTAAACACGTTGAAAAAGACTCAGTGCATATGTTAGCAGAAGTCCAGAGAAGGAGAGTAAAGCCTGGGAGAGAATTAGATCGTTGGGACCTCAACATCTGGACAGAGTGTACTGAGGGGTATCAAGCAATAAACGGGATCCACACTTGTAGCCTGCAAGGTAACTGGACGTTTAAACCGAGGAAAGAGAGACTTAATGGGCTCCTACAGCCGCTCTCGCACCCTCACACACCGCCGACTGAAGTCATCATGAGAGCACAAGCGTTCCGACATCAGTCCACTACTTTTTCTGGACCTTCTTTACTTCTTTCTGATCTCATTGTCCCCCATCCCCTCCCCTTCCCTTCCCTTCCCTCTTTCTCGTTTGCCTCTCTTTATATAATCTTTTGCTTTTTAACCACTTTTAAGGAGATTTCGCCCCCAACCAGAACACAACTCACAGTCTTCTTCCTCTCTAGTTCCGAGTCCGGAGACCCAGCTCTCGCCTCTCCCCGGGGCTGGGCCGGTTCTCGCTGGGCTCAGCAGCCCACGCCACGAGGATCATCTATTTCGTGAGTCCCGGCCCTGATGCCGGGCCGCTGCTCTTCCCTCCCCTCGACGCCTCAGCCCCAAAGACACCTAAACTCCACGGCCTCTAGAGCTGGGCGCGACTGGCTCCCCCAAGGTCTCCGGCTGGTCGCAGGGTCGCGTCGGCAGGTGGACAGTACCTCTTTGCAGGCGTGAAGCTCCGGTCCGGTTCCCTGGGTCACCTGGAAGGCGGTCCCAGCCCAGAGCAGCAGCCGCAGAAGCCGGAGTGCGCGCCTCTCAACCTTCCCCCTGCCCCGGGCGGAGAGACAGCGGCGGTGCCCGGGCTCAGCCATAGCGTAGTCCTGAGAGAGCGGCTGTAGCGGCTCAGGTGGTGCGGCTGCTGTTTCTGCTGGCAGAAGGCAAGGGGAAAAAAAAAAAAGAGGGAGGTTCACAGGGGGAGGATGCAAGGGGCCGGGCTCACTCCAGTCACCTCCCTGTGGCGCCAAGGCCGCCCATCCTTCCTCCTCCCTCCGACTCCTCTCCTCCTACCCACGTCGCCTTGACAACCGCATCCTCGTTCACTGGGCGCGGGTGGGGCGGGGACCACGAGCGCCTCAGCCGCTCACCTGCCGGTCGCCATGGCAGCCGCCGCCGCTGGCGCGCGCGGAGCCACACAGTGCGCGCGCCCGGGACGTGCAATCTGCCCCAGAGGCCGGCCCAGGGCCGCGCGAAAACCGCGACCGGACATTTCTCCAGGCCATGCCCAGCCAATCCGCCGGACAGGGACTATGGTGAGCCCCCTCTGATTTTGCAAAGGTGGAGTGTGGGCCCGTAGGAAAAAGCCCGAGATACCGTCTCTGGCCCACAGACACCATCGCCCACCGGTGTGGCCCCGGTACGTACCACCTGCATCCCGCCAAGTCCATCCGTGCTCTTACAGGCGGCTCTGTGAGAAGCCCTGGGATTCGTGTCGTTAAGCCGAGCTTAAGCAAGGAGAATTCGCCCTAGCCGGCAGTACCTCCGAACGCTACACGTGTTTTGACATCCTCACTGGCTCCTTCCCTTGAATATAGGGAAGACTTTTGTTAGGTGCGAGAAAAAAGGAAACGTACGGGTCATTTTTTTCTTTTAGGACTTCTCTCCTCGACTGCAGACTTTTGCAGAAATCCTGGAGGGTGAGAGGCTGGCGTTTCTTCAACTGGGGCTCAGAAGAGCACGTTCAGGGCTTCCTGGCGCGCGCAACGCCCATTTCCCGCCGCATCCCTGCCTGCTTCCTCCCGAGGGGCATCCCGAGTTGAACCGCCAGGGGGTGCCCTTCTCGAAGGGAATTCGGCTCAGTCATAGATAGCGGGCAGTCGCCTGGCAACCGGAACAAGGTGTTCCAAACAATTGACATCCCGGAGCCTCCGCAGGCAAGGCTGTGCCCCGGCCACCTTGGCCTCCTGTTCCATCTCGCTCGGCAATTAACCATGCCTCCCACTCGAGACCCTTTCCAGCACCCTATGCCAGATAACGACGATTCCTACCTGGGAAAACAGCAGGCTTCCAAGGTACGATGGTTTCTCTTGCAGCTCCCATCAACCTGGCCAAGCCGCCCCGTTTCTGATAGTGCGACTGGCGGAGATGGTAATGGAAAGAACTCTGGTGAGGACACTGAGCCCAGGACCAGAGAAGTCTCTTTTCGGCCTGCCCCCGCGCCCTAGTCCCCATCTTCAAGTTGGTTAAATGTTCACAGGTGCTTTTGAGCAGAGGGAGATAAAGCTCAAAGTATTGATTAGTGTGAGTGATAGGAGGCGCTAGGTTCCATTGAGCCACTCCCTCCGTTTGGAAACTGTCCTCCAAAGATAAAGGAGACACGGAGTGGGAGGGAATCTTGTGAAAGCCACCAGGTCACGTCTTCATGCCCTCTGTCTTTTGGTTAATGCCAGAATGTGTTTGAGTGCGACTGTGATCAGTGATTTGGGTGAACCATCTTTTTTTTTTTTTTCTGCTATAAGTGTTTGAAATATTCCAAGTGTTGCAAAATAAGTTGACTTAATCAGTGACTATAGCTTGACAATGTCAAAGATCATTTTATTTATTAAGCATTTATTATTTATTACATTCTGGGCAGTCTGCTGAACACTGATGATACCTAAAGTAGATATAGCTGCTACTCTCAAAGAAGTCAAATAGAAAAGACAACAGCAAGAGTGTTTGCACAATATAGCACCTGGGGGCAGTGAGGAAAAGGAAAGCTTTCTAAAGCAGGTGAGTTTTGACAAGCGTGTTAGCTGGGCCAGGTGAGAGAGGGGTGGAATGTGAGTTAGAAGAAGGAAGTAGGAACCAGACAGTCAAGGCAAAGGAATCAGCAGGTGCATTCAAGGAAAAATGTATGTGTGTGTGTGGTCTCTTTGGAGAACTACACATAGTCCTGAAGGGTTGAAGTCTGGGTGTGAAATGGAAGTGTGGAGACATCAGGGCTGGAGAAGTGGCCTCGGTGGGCTGTGTGCACACTAGTGAGCTAGATTTTCATCCTGGAGTGAGTGACAGAATCAAATGGCAGTAGATGGGACAGAATGGGAGTGGAACAAAAGAGATGAGTGAGAAGGCAGGTGCAGCGAGCTCCAAGAGGAAGGATAATGAATCTAGAGCAGCAACACAGGGATTGGTGATTAATATGCAGATGTGAGAACAAGGCCAAGAGGAGGCCTGATGGGATGTGGTGACTGACGGATATGGGCCCAAGAAACTAGTCCAGCATTAACTCCTAGGCCTCTGAGGGCTTAACTGACCCCACTCACTGAATTGGGACACCTCAGGGATGCAGGTTTGGGGAGAAATACGTTGAGATCAATTGTGTGGATGCTGTTTTTGCAGAGCCCGTGAAACATTTAAGTGACAGTTAAGAGTAGATGACAGTGGGTTGAAGATGTCCTGTCATGCCTGGAAGCTGAAGGATGTGGGCCATCCTCCACTGCTTTCCTAGGCCATAGCAGAGAGCCAGATCAGAAGTGGAGCAGCTGGAACTCGAACCAGTGCCCATATGGGATGCCAGCACTGCAGGCAGAAGCTTCACCTGATACACCACAGCGCCGGCCCCTGGCCTCCACTTTTCTGCCTGTTAATTGCATTTGAAGTCTCATTTGTCCTTCACACTCAGGACATTTAACCTGAGCGCATCAGCTTTCCTATCTGCTCCCCAACCTTCTCCCAACTCTTCCACTCCACTCCTTTCCCTGTATTCCTGGACCATGTCTCTTTTTATTTAATATTTATTTATGTATTTGAAAGTTGGAGTTACAGAGAGGCAGAGAAAGAGAGAGAGAGAGAGAGAATATCTTCTATCTTTGGGCCAGGCTATCCGTGTCTCCCATGTGGGTGGAAAGGGCCCAAGCACTTAGGCCATCTTCTGCTGCTTTCCCAGGTGCATTAGCAAAGAGCTGGATCAGAAGCAGAGCAGTGGGGACTCAAACCAGCACTCACATGGGATGGCAGTGTTGGTGTGGCAGGCGGCAACTTAACCCACTATACCACAACACCAACCCCTTCTATCAGTTCTAAGAAAACGTAAGACGATCAAAAGCCTGGGAGATCCTGCCTCACATCATTCTCTTCACAGACTTTCCTCTGCGAGTCGATTGAAACAGAATGGAATAACGAAATGATGTCACTGAGGCTACCGCATCAGCCAGGTCCCCTGTGACCGGGTCCTGAAGGGGGTTTCTCTTTTGCAGAAACTGCCATACAAGAATCCAACTCATCTGGCTCAGCAACAAGAACCCTGGAGTCGGCTCAACTCCACTCCCACAATTACCTCCATGAGGCGTGATGCCTATTTTTTTGACCCCAAGGTACCTAGCACTGAAATACTTTTCTCTTGACACCCACTTTAGGACTCATTAGTATTCTTTTTGAAAGGAAGTCTGTCTTGACTATGTCTGTATCTCTCCTTTTGTCCCCAACCCAAGATCCTGCCAAATCCAAAACCAAACTAATTTATCTGGCCTCTAGGTCAGAAAGCTTGGATTTTGCTCCATTACCAGGAGCAAATAATTTTAATAGACTTTCCCATGTTTTTCATGAATGTAAGCATGAATGAGGTCAAGTTCAAGGCCAAATCAAGGATATTTCCATGTCCCCAGTGAGTCACCACTCTTTAGACCTGACTGTAATGGAGACAGTTCCATACTGACAAGAGTTCAGAAGTCATGGTTACAATTTGCATGTAACAAAATTGGTGTTCAGTCCCAACAGAGGGGCTTCACTTTCCTTTGGGGACGAGTAGAGCCAACAGCACCTGATGAGAGTGAAGGCACAGGGGGCCAAGTTAACCCTGGGGGATTGACTTTCCCTGTAGACACCAAAGGATGACCTGGACTTCCGCTTAGCAGCCCTGTACAACCACCATACTGGGGCGTTCAAGGACAAAAGTGAGGTACTGTTACACGAGGAGACCATCCACGGGTAAGTGGCAGAGGCAGGGCCTCTTCACCCTTGGGATGCTGCTGTCCAGTCACAGAAGGTAGACTGTCACCTGGGAAGTAACCACCAATGGGTACTCGTTTATATACAAATATCTGTACTTTTTTTACATCTGTGTCTGTAATAGGCATATCCTTATTGTCTGCAATGGATAGAAATCCTCCAAGAGTGTGCTCCTCTGCATAAACAAAATTTCTGGTTAATTCTACAAAGGATAAGGGCCTTCGGCTGCTTTATGATACATGTCTCACGTGGCCACCTTTCCCTCATCTTTCAGTCTCCATTGTTCTTCCCCATACCATCTTCTAGAATCAAGATCCAATTCCCTGGAGAATCTTCACCCCCTCCTCTGCTACCCCCTATCACTTCCCGGGCTAACATCAGACACTGGATCAACCCAAAGAAGGAGTCTATCCACAGCATCCAGGGATCTATAGGTAAGGGTTAGGAGACTGGGTGGGTAAATAGGTGGCACAGGTGTCTTTTTAAGTGGATCTGACATTGGGAGATTGGCGGTGACTGGCTGGTAGAAAAGACCAGGGATTACTGAGGGTCTTGGAAAGCAGTGATTAATGTACAGAACCTAATCCAAAGGACAGGTTGACCACAGAGCTAGGAAATTAATTCAAGTGTTCAGCACCTCAGTCTTACATCTAGGGGACAAGCATTTCTTTCAATTTTTTTTTTTAAAAAGATGTATTTGTTTATTTAAAAGGCAGAGTAACAAGAGAGGGAGAGAGATCTTCCATCTATTGGTGCACTCTTCAAATGTGCACCACATCCAGGGCTAGAACAGACCAAAGCCAGAAGCCTGGAATTCCATCCAGGTCTCCCACACGGGACCCAAGTACTTGGGCCATCATCTGCCTTCCCAGATGCATTAGCAGGAAGTTGGATTGAAAGCAGAGTAGCTGGGACTTGAACAGTCACTCCAATATGGGATGTGGATATCCTAAGTGGTGGCTTCACCTGCTACACCAGAATGCCTGCAACCGTTTCTGGCAAAGGGCAGGCACAGGGCAGAAACCTGGGAGCAGAACACCTATGACTACCTCCCATCCGCCCTCCATATGCCGGTTCCCCCAGCTGCTCTAGGACCCTCCCCCAGAGTACCAATCCATGTGATGATTCGAGGTTCCCAGAAAAGGGAAAAGGATCTGAAATTCACAGCCCACTCCCTCTCCTCTTTTGTCCACAGTGTCCCCTCACACTGCAGCCACCAACAGAGGTTACTCCCGAAAGAACGATGGTGGCTTCTTCTCCACATAGGCCCCTGGACGGATGGATTGTGGGGGCACCTGCTGTCGTCTGCCTCCATTAAACAGATTTGTTCAAGATGAAGTCTGACGTGTCTCTTACCCACAGACTACGAGTTGCCACTTCACTCTTAAAATACGGAAGGGAAATTTCCCAGCGTCTAAAAATGAGTCCCCTGGGGTACATCTGCAACTTGGAAAGGCATCTTGCTGAAAAGCTCAGGACTCAGGACAGAAGGCACAGGACACTGTTGATAAACTGAAATCACTCCAACCGTACAGTACCATTCAAAATTTCTCACAAGCTTTATGAACTGAGCATTGGAGAACAAGAATGGCTGAAGTCCATTCTCTCACTGAGCTTTCCCTGCAGTTCCAGCAACTCTAAATAGCTTTCATATTTAGTTTGAAACTTCTTTCATTTAGTCATCTGCTGGCCTCCACTTTTCCCCAAGGGCCATCTCTCTGTGTTCCTGGATTCCTGACACGGTTTAATCACTAACTCTGCCTCTGTCTCCTTGCCTGGAAGCTGTCAGTTTGTAATGGGATTC